GGCCCACTCCTGAGTCCAGACGATGCTCATGTCAATGGCTTCAGTGATGGCGGTGACTGAACCGAAATGGATCTCGTTCTGGGGCCGCTTCCTGTGGGTGACGCTGCTAAGCATGGTGCTGGGGTCCCTGCTGGCCCTGCTGTTGCCACTGGGGGCTGTGGAGGAGCAGTGCTTGGCTGTGCTCAAAGGCTTCTACCTGCTCAGGAGCAAACTGGACAGGGCGCAGCATGCCACCACCAGGTGCACCAGCCCATCCACAGAGCTCAGCGTCACCTCCAGGGATGCAACACTGCTGGTGGTCAAGACCAAGGCCTCTCCAGGTAAGACAGACTGGCCGTCTTCCTCAACGCTCGTAGACATTTATAGAATGTGTGCCATGTCCCGTGTGCAGGGTGGGTATTGTGAACAAGTCAGCCCTGGGCTCCCGGCATTAACAAGCTGACAGATTACTGAGAATGTCATGATTGTGGTTATGGGAAGCACAAAGGGCTGTAGGGGCATACCAGGAAGGCTCCCTGGAAGAGGTGACACCTGAGCTGGGACCCAGTTGTAAGTAGGAGTCATCCAAGGAGAAGGGCATCCAAGGAAAAGACCTCCAGGCAGAGACCAGAGGGTAGGAGAGAGCCTGGGGGCATTCGAGGAACTAAAGGAAGTTGAATATGTGGGGCTGAGCCTCACAGGTGGCCAAGGGGCCAGGACAGCAGGGCTTGGGCAAAAGCAGGCTCCCCACCTCCACCAGGAGTTCTCTGTGGTGGGGACTGACATAGGCATTGTCAGATGGTGGTGGCATCCCTGGCCTCTCCCCTGAGATGCCTGTAGCACCCCTACTACCTCCCCAGTTATGACAACTAACCAGGTCTCCAGCTGTCACCAAATGTCCCCTGGGGCGCACAATCAAACCACTGGGTTGAAAGAGAGAAAGAACAGTCCCGGATGGTGAAGCCCCCAGGGCCTAGAAAGAGTGGGGAGTTGTTAACACCTTGGGCCTGCAGGGCAGGGAATCCGTGTCACCAGCACGGGTCAAGCTGGAGATGTAGGAGAGGGCCTACATTGGGAGCTGTGGCCAGTGGGAAAGGTCCAGCAGACCAGCACAGATGACAGCCCTGAATGTCCTCTGCCCCCTACCCTCCCTGACAGCACTTCTTTGGTTCTCTTCCAGCAGGTAAGTTGGAAGCCAGAGCCGCCCTGAACCAGGCTCTGGAGATGAAGCGCCAGGGCAAGCGGGAAAAAGCCCAAAAGCTCTTCATGCATGCCCTCAAGATGGACCCGGACTTCGTGGACGCACTCACCGAGTTTGGCATCTTCTCGGAGGAAGACAAGGACATCATCCAGGCGGACTACTTATACACCAGAGCACTGACCATCTCGCCCTACCATGAGAAAGCGCTGGTCAACCGTGATCGGACACTGCCACTCGTGGAGGAGATTGACCAGAGGTATTTCAGCATCATCGACAGCAAGGTGAAGAAGGTCATGTCCATCCCGAAGGGGAACTCGGCTCTGCGCAGGGTCATGGAGGAGACCTACTACCATCACATCTACCACACGGTGGCCATCGAGGGCAACACCCTCACCCTCTCAGAAATCAGGCACATCCTGGAGACACGCTACGCTGTGCCCGGGAAGAGCCTGGAGGAACAGAACGAGGTCATCGGTGTGCACGCGGCCATGAAGTACATCAACACGACACTGGTTTCGCGCATCGGCTCTGTCACCATCAGCGACGTGCTGGAGATCCACAGGCGGGTGCTGGGCTACGTGGACCCCGTGGAAGCTGGCAGGTTTCGGACGACACAGGTCCTAGTTGGACACCACATCCCTCCCCATCCGCAGGATGTGGAAAAGCAGATGCAGGAGTTCGTACAGTGGCTCAACTCGGAAGATGCCATGAACCTGCACCCGGTGGAGTTTGCAGCCTTAGCCCATTATAAACTCGTTTACATCCACCCTTTCATTGATGGCAACGGGAGGACCTCCCGCCTGCTCATGAACCTCATCCTCATGCAGGCGGGCTACCCGCCCATCACCATCCGCAAGGAGCAGCGGTCCGAGTACTACCACGTGTTGGAAGCTGCTAACGAGGGCGACGTGAGGCCTTTCATTCGCTTCATCGCCAAGTGTACTGAGACCACCCTGGACACCCTGCTTTTCGCCACGACTGAGTACTCGGTGGCACTGCCAGAAGCTCGGCCCAACCACTCTGGGTTCAAGGAGACGCTTCCTGTGAAGCCCTAACCCTAGAAACCCTCCCTCAGTGACAAAGGATGTCCCTAGGTAGGGGAAAACACCAAAAAACAGCATTTCTAGAAACCTAGTCACTTCCCAAAGCAAAAGGAGAAACATTCTTTACCTCCAAATGTTGTTTTAGTTAAAAAAGAAAAAAAATTAAGTTATTAAGCCTTGTCTCTAAAATAACTTATAATTCAACCAGGCTTATTTATTTTCTTTGGAGCAAGCTAGTCAGTGTTGTGTGGTGTCTGCTGTGTCTTGCTGGTGACTGTGCCTTAGGGGCAACAGTGCTTCCATGTGACCAGAACACGGGTTCTGGAGCAGAATTTGTACCAAGGTGGAGGGGCAGCCAGGAGGTGTGGGACAGGGCCCAGAGGCAGATATCACTCCACGTGCTGCTCTGAAACAGGCTGAGAGATTCCATGAATGCAACTGGAAAGTCGGACCCCAGTCGCAGCTGAAAGAAGTGGTTGAAAGCTGGCTTTCTCGAGGTTTAGGTCAGTGGTGACTAACTTCCAAGCAAACTGCATAGAGAAAATGAATGACGCTCCTAGTTCAGTCCCTACTTACCTCCAGGAAGACTTTTTGAGTCACAGTTTGCAAACTTTAGTGCCAGTGGCTATTTTTCCATATTGAGACTGTTTTTCTAATTACGAATCTGGGTAGCCATAAAGAGCTGTTTGTGGGCAGGGGAAACACAGGGGGTTGGCCCATTTGATTTTCTTTGGGTATCAGTGCTTTTCTCGCACTTCATTTGTAGCAACTCAGGCCAGATGTTTTCGTTTAAAAGTTCTCTGGGCTCGTCCTTCCAACTGTGTCATGCTGTAAACCAGGTGTTATGCAAGTAGGCACCTGCCCTTGCTCCCCTGCCTGAGTTTTCTGTAGGTAGATGTTGAAGAACCTATCTGAGAAAACGTGCCACGTGGACACCTACTAAGCATTTTTGATAATGAATTAGAGCACCAGTTTCTACTGAACAGAGCAAAAACATTCAGCCACAGCGGGGTTATGTCCCTTTAGTCCTGAAGTTTCACCTACTTACTGCCTGGACCCCCACCTTCCATGGCCGTTGCTGTCCTGTGTACCCCTGGGGAGGCAGAAGAGATTGCCTCAGAGTAGCCTTATTTTTCTCGTGACTTGTGAAATGATGCAGTGCTCTATGTAATATGGCCAAGTTTCCAAGCTGTCATCCTATGGAAGTAGAATCTTCTCTTTCAATCGTATGGCACAGGTGCCCATATGACTGCTGCTATTTAGTCAGAGTGGTGGAAGTCACTGGGTCCCCTTCCCAGTGATGGAGCCCGTGACATCTAACACTGTACTGCACTTTGCCAATGTGTGAGTGATAGCGAATATGCAGTGTTATCTTTGATTTGGGAATTCAGTTCCTGACAGTAATGAGGCCAGTGCTCTGACAGAGTTTATAGTTATTCAGTTGTATAAATACTACATTCAGAGTGTTTTTGAAAGGTCAAGAAAAATAAGTGAAAAGATACGTGAAATGGCTCCAAATGATAATTATTCAAAAAATGTTTTCATACTCTCATGCTGCCAGATGTACTTCTTACACTCTTCTCATCTTGGTTTTATAAGCACACCAAGGTCTGACAGATGAGCTTGCTTTCTACTTAAGAGCAAGAGAATTTGCACTTTAGCTATATGTGAAGGATATTATTTTAACAAATTCCCGATTCTAATAAAGTTATTTTATTACATGAATCCCTGAGACTCTGCTCTCTTATTTGGGAGGTGTTCCCATCTGTCCTAAGGGCAATGGGGGTATTCTGACCTTTAGCCTTATTCATAATACTGTTCTGGGGGAGCAACAGATCCAAGATGGTGATTTCCACGAGCAAGTGAGCCAGAAGTTGGATAACCCACCCACCTAGGTGGATAAGGATGAATTACTGATTTTCTTGGTTTTTTTTTTTTTTTTTTTTTTTAATTAAGTAACTGAAGTAGTTCCTCAGGTTTCTATTTACCATCAGTTCTGGATTTTCTAGGGAAAACACACAAACCCACTCATATGGTCCTGGATATCCATTTGTGCAACAGTCAATCCCGAACCTAAATGGGGTTCTGCTCAAGCCTGAAAAGGTCTGTCCCTGTAACAAGCCAGGGTTGACATCTGCAAGTATGACATTAAGGTCAGAATACTGGCTGCAGGCAAGAAAGCCAGTTAATGTGAAACAGAAAAAAGTAAGGCCACACTCACCCACAGTGATAGTCATGGCTCTTCATGTGTCAGGCCCCCAACCATGAGGGCTCCCTGTGAGCTACCCAAATCATTGCACCAGCCGAATGGCCTTCCAAGCAGCATCACAGAGAACACTGCGGGAAGAACGCATGGGACAGCAAAGGCTCTTGCTGCTGCCAACAGCCACCGCTTGAATTTAATTCAGAAGTAAAGCCTAGTAAAAAGTTTTGTGTAAGAAAGAAATGGAGAGGAACCTACATTTTAAAAGACTTAGGAGGCTTACCAACCAATGATCATTTAAAGGGAGGAGAGCTGACATTTATAGGAAGGCGGAAATTTGAGTGGACAGTTGATGACATTAAGGGATTACCACTAATATTCCTAGGAGTGAAGGCCTTTCAGTCCTGAGACACCTGCCACAACATTACTGGACAATCACGATGACATCTGGAACATGCCTAAAAAGAACAGAGGGTGAAGGGGAGACAGACATGAAGGAAGAGGGGCTGGGAGCTGAGGAATGCTGGAAGCCAAATGGTAGGCACATAGGAGTTTATTTTACTGTTCTGTCTACTTTTTAATAGGTTATATTAAAAAATGTTAAGTTAAAAAAAATATAGAAAAGCCCGACTGATGCACAAAAACTTAACACAACAGATAAATGAGGAGTTGATTCCCATGACATATACAAGGATTCCCTGACATCTTTCTCCAGACTGTGTAAATAAAGGAAGCTTCCCCTACTGAACTGGCAATGCTGTTTTCAAAGCAATAAATATTATTTGATAAAAGATGTGAAGTAAAAAAGCTCATAAGCTCCAGTGTCAAACTGCTATAACCTAAATTGTATAAAACTGAAGACACATCACAGCTGAAATAATTTAAATCAAAGTGACAATGAGATTTGACTTAACAAAAGTTCTATTTACACATCCATTAGGTAAAGCAAGGTACACCCACTTCAAAACACATCCATATGTGAATGCACATCTGAGTACCGTTCAGCAAAAAGTTTTTAAGAGAACTTCAGTTTAATAAAGCTAAATGGGGAGAAGTGAAGTTTGCATTTAACATGGTATTAAACAAAACCAAAGGGCTGAAACTCATGTTTAGACAACACAGGTCACTAATCACTAGGCAAAGAAAACAGTCCACAGCAGGTGGCACAAATAATTCCTATACAAATGTCGCAAATATTCTGCTTTAAGGAAACATAAAACAATGGTTGACATATCATTTACAAATACAGAATATAAAAATGCACAGCCCCCTTGAACAAAAATTCAGCAAATGTTTTTAGATGACTTCCCTCACACCCACCCCCACATTAGGCCATTCTGGTGAATTACTAGCATCTGCCATTTCATCTTTTAAAAGAATGATGGGCACATGTGCTGTCCAGGGTGGAAGACAAGTGTCATATAAAAAGGGGCCGGAGCTGGCCAGGAACATTTGGACAAGTGCGTCTCAAAAACTCTGTATTCTAGTTTCGCTTCTGTGCCTCAGTCTTGAAGATACAAAAGCCTCTTAGGACACCACATCCTGGGCCCAGCCTGCAGAGTGGTCGCTTTTCTGCCACTGCCCTCAATATGAGGGAGCACTGAAAAAGGCTCTTGACTTAGGGCCTCTTCCCCTTTCTGTGAAGCAGAGGAGCCATCTGTGGTTGCGAGTGGGCAGCACACCAGGCATGTCCATCCCCAGTGCACTGCTGGGTAGTGTGGGTGGTCCTCCGGGCCAGAGTGAAGTAAGGCATTTCCTGTCTCCCAGAATCCCGTTCACTTTCTCAGAAACAGCTTGGCAAAATCGGCATTGGACATCTTGGGTGCCTCGGTGGCTGGTGGGGTGGCAACTGCAGGAGCCGGGGCAGGGCCGTTCTCGGCCTGAGGAGCTGCAGCACTTGGGCGCTGCAGGGCACGAGGCAGTAGAGCCAGCTGCGTCCTTCCCTTCCCCCTCCTAGAAGAGCAAACACTGAATGGACCTTTTGAAGCAACAATTCGTGGCCCCTGGTTTATTTGTGAAAACAAGCCAAGACAGTTTTAATATAACCAGAAGTTAAAAAGTGAAGGAAAAAAAAAAAAAAAAAAAGGATGAGACAATCCTTGCCTCCTTAATTCTGGCTATTATGTAAAAACTGCTTCAACAAACTTGACCTTGTTCAGTATCAACCCTGAGCACCAGTCACACTCAGAGGGGATCAGAGTGACTATCACCTCTCAGACCTTACCAGTCACCCAGCAATTCCGCTATCTCCTCCTCATCCCTATCAGGAAAAAAGCACAGCTTATGTGGATCATAGCTAGGGCTGCAGACTGGCACACACGTGGGTATGAGATTTTGTTTTAAACACACAGATCCAACTGGCAAAGGGGACTTTAAAATAATCACTGCCTTTAGTCCTGTCTGAAATAAATGACGAAGTGTGAATTGGCCAATACCAGGCAGGGGTCACTGCCTAGGCTTGCACCCTCCCTGGACCTGCTCTGGACACCTTGCTCCGGTGGAACCACAGTGATTACCACAAGAACAGCAGGTCTTGGCTTTTGTCCTAACAGGAAGCTAATTCATCCTGGTTAATCCCACCATGGTCCATGAACTGGTGCCAGCCAGGGTGAAGTCTGCACTAATCTACTGTGCAAGCACTTACGCTCCATATGTCTGCGGTGAAGGCATGGGGCCACCCGGTGCCTTCCTGGCCTCTGGCTTCTCTGGAACCTTCCTCTGAGGAGGGTTGCTGATTGCCACTTTGATGACATTCTCTTTGATAGTCATGCCGTCCATCTTCATCACAGCCTGCGATGCCTGGGATTCATTTTCGTACTCCACGTAGGCCAGGCCCTGGAAGAGGCAAGATCCAGAGCCAAGTCAGATCCTGCAGACCCAGGATGCAACCTCCTCCCGCAGGGCAGGCGCTGGGCCTCCTCCTGGAGACCAGCAGACCAGGACACAGCAGACGCCCCATCAACAGATTACCTTCCCCACCGCCGCATCCTCTGTCTACAGGCTTATTTCCCCACCCTCTTCTCCTTCCCTATTGCTGTTAATGCACTGTAACTTCAGATAACCCTTCCAAGTTCAGTACACCTTGTACGTGCTGCGGAATTAGAAAGAAAGAAGGAAACAGACAGGTGGACCAGTATAAAGCCAGCAAATAAACCAAGAGGTGGACGGAACACAGGGCGAGCAGTCCAGGTGCCCAGGTGAGCCCTCATGTTTCTGTGCCCTTACACTGCCCCCCTCCCATTTCATCCTCTTTTTCTCTCCATTAACCTGGATAAAGGGGAGGTAAAGTGGGCAGTGGGTAGACAGTAACACAAAACCACTTACTACTCAAAATGGGGCACAAAAGGACTTAGCAGGAGACTGGGGGGCAAGAAGGAAGGACAGGAGAAGACGCACTGCAATGGAGGGACTCAAGGGGGCTGGCTGGAGGCCCCAGGGAAAGAGAGGCCTGGGACAGAGGAAGGAGGCTGCACAAGGTGCCCACCCCAAAGCCTGTGTGCTACTGGTCACAGGGCTTCCCTCAAGCCCCACAGCAAGGGGCCACAGTATGATGAATCCATGATCATCTATTTCCAAGTACCTTATTCTTTTTAGTACAATTAACTACAAACAGGTTAATCTGACTCCAAATACAAGTAGAGCTAAGTGTGCAGATCTTTCTGTTAAAATAACTTCTGTTTCTCAGCAGATGAACTAGGAACCCACCCTAAAGGTAAATAATCTTTGAACAGATACAGAAACGAAGTTTGCCTGAGCCTTGAAAAGGCACAATCTGCTCTAACACTGACCTTTGGTTTGCCAGCCCGGTTGGTGACCAGCCTGAGGTCCTTCACGGTGCCATGAGCCTTACAGATTTCCTCTAGTTCCTCTTTAGTGCAGGAGAAAGGCAGGCCCGAGATGAACAGCTTGTGTTTCTCCAGGGAAGTGCTGTACCTGAACACCTATAGGAAGGGAGAAAAAAAAACATGATTCAAGGCCTGGCCCAGCTCACCTGACTCCTCTGACACTAGCCTTGTCCCCAGGAGCATGCCCAGCCAGGCAGACCAGAGCCAAGCCATGCTGAAGCTTGTTAACAGAGCCACAGGGGTGAGTCACTTAACCTCTCTGGCTTCCATGTCTTCCTCTGTAAAATGGCAAGAATAAAAGTGGCCAGTCACAGAGTCTGATAAGGATTCAATGAAGTGACATACATAAAACACATTTAGCACAGTCTCTTGTCACTACCAAGCACCCAGCGGCAAGTACCCATGCCATGAGTCAGACCTCAGTCAACCAGCTCAGGATGGACCTTGGCTCACAAGGAAGTTTAGATCCGAACAGAGCATAAAACTTCTGTGTATATCCTAAATATCACTGCTGCAGGAAGAAAGTCCCTAAAGCAACCACAGACACAAGGCATTCTGTTTTTCCATAAACCTACCTTAAACTCGGGGTTTTTGCTCTTATCCACACAGGGGGAAACAAACATCGGCCTCCCTTCCACACTTTTACGGTCCATCTCCAGCGCCTGAAGGGCTGATTTCTCTTCTTTAAACTCCACATAGCAGTAGCCTCGGAAATCCCCGCGGTTGCTGAAGATGGGTCGGATCTGGACCACCTCCCCACAGGCCTCGAAGAGCGGCCTGAGCTTCACGTCCGGCTCCTGCATGCTATAGGGCAGGTTGCTGACAAAGACGGTGATGCTGTCCTTGCTGCTGTCATGCAGCACCTTGGGCATGTCCCTCTTCAGGGAGGCTGCCTTCTCCTTCTGCTTTGAAGGGGGCTCCACATCTACAACGGCACATTTCCCAGCGGGTCCTGCTGCTGATTCCACGTTTTGTGTTTCTCCAGCTGCAGGGATGCTGTTCTCGACCCTTCTGCGTTTGGAAGGCTGCTCTACAGGTTTTCAAAAGAAAAGCAGCCTTGGTTAACCGTTACCTCTCTTCAGGGAGCTTGAACAGAGGTGTGATGTGAATGTGCTGTGACAGCTGCATGTGACACTCCCTCGCCAGACTCAGAAGGGCAAGCATCACCCCTGAGAAGTCTTTTGTGACCCGCCTGACCTGTCCCACGACTTTCTGTGTGCCCCAGTTACACTCGGGTAAGTGGGCTCGGTCAATTGGAAGTAATAACATCAATCCCCATTGTCCACTCTTAATTATACAAAAGGCCAGAAGGTCTCAAAGTTCAGAAGGCAAATTCCAGGGCCCCTCTCCTACAAAAGCCCAGGTCAACAGGGTGGGACAGGACATGAGAATCTGCACTGGAAAAGCACCCTAGTGGCTGATGCCCGCGCCCCATGGAGCACATTTTGGAAAGCACTACAAAGGGTCTGTGGTTTCTAAAACACTTTTAATATTTCCTTGTGTCCTTAAGAGAGCTTAACCACAATCTACTCCAGTCTGTCCTCACCACTGCCTCCAGAAGGCCAGGACTAACGCTCAACAGATGTTTGCCTCCAACAAACAGACCTCTCCATCAGTTCACCCACCACCTTTGCAATGGGTGGAAAGCCCTGCACGCTGCTACTGTATTCCAGAGCGCCTCTGGGCTGGGTCCAGCTGACTGGCCCGCCTACCACTCCAGCCTCCTCAAACACTGCCCCATCCCTCTCCATGTATCCAAGTTCAAACCCAATTATTTGCTGCTTACAGAAATTGCCAGGCTGTGTGCTAGGCCTTCAGGCTGTGCTAACGCTGGCTCCCTGTCTAGCTCAGCCCTTCCCTTCTCGATGCCAGACAGTCACTCCGTCTCCTCCCAGATTTCAAACCTCTTCCCCCACAGGTCTTCCTGGTACAGAGCTGGCCCACTAGTGCCTTCTTTGGCCTCCACCACTATTAACAACTCCATCTCCCACAGTCCTGATGACATGCCACCATGGTCACATATCACATCTGCCTTACTCTACTAAACTGGGAGGACTGAGGGGCAATGAGTCCCCCTTAGTTATTTAGGAAAGCCCAAACAAGGTGTGCAAGCAAGGTCAACTCAAAGATGGATGACTCCATTCCCAGTTCTTTCTGGCTCACACATCTGTACCAAGAAAGTGTACAGAGTCCTTACACATCCAGAGACAATTCTTTTTTTTTTCTTTTTATGAGATGGAGTCTTGCTCTGTCTCCCAGGCTAGAGTTCAGTGACGCGATCTCAGCTCATTGCAAACTCCGCCTACTGTGCTCAAGTGATTCTCTTGCCTCAGCCTCCCAAGTAGCTGGGAAAACAGGCGCCTGCCACCATGCCTGGCTAATTTTTCTATTTTTAGTAGAGACAGGTTTTCACCATGTTGGCCATGTTGGTCTTAGATCCCTGACCTCAGGTGATCCACCCACCTCGGCCTCCCAAAGTGCTGGGATTAGACATGAGCTACTGCACCCCGCCATCAGAGACAATTCTTTACCTTAACTGACTCTCTGAAATAAATATGACCCAGAGCTGCTCACCCCTGAAATTACAAGGGTGAAAGAAACACTGCTGGAAAATTCCACTAAGTCACAACCATTAAAAGCAGGGCCAAGGCTGGGCACGGTGGCTCATCTGTAATCCCAGTACTCTGAGAGGCCAAGGCAGGAGGATCACTTGAAGTCAGGAGTTCCAGACCAGCCTGGTTAACATGGTGAAAACCCATCTCTACTAAAATACAAAAATTAGCTAGGCATGGTGGCTGGCACCTGTAATCCCAGCTACACAGGAGGCTAAGGCAGGAGAATCGCTTGAACCCCAAGGTAGAGGTTGCAATGAGCTGAGATCACAACACCACACTTGAGGACGGAGAACAGAGAAAGACTCCCTCTCAAAAAAAAATTAAAAAAAAAAAAAAAGCAGGGCTAAGCCTGGTAGGTCTGTGCAGGGTAAGGGCTGCTGCAGTGGTGTGCAATGCTACAGCCTGAATGGAAGAAAGAAGATGAGCAACATGGGGCAGTGACAGGGACCCCACCTGAGATATGGAAGCCAGAATGAAGATGCAAGGGGGTCCATGCTGGGCCATACCTGGCCCCAGGTGTAAGAGATCAGACAGGGTGGGGATGGCACCCACGAGAAGGGGAGGCAGGAACAGGAAACTGATTTTGCAAATACAGGGGCTGGATGGAATAAGTGAGGATGCTGAGGATAAAGGGAGCCAGGTTTCTCAAGGTCAGAGAAGGGTATGACACAGCTGGGCACAGTGCTCATGCCTATCATCCCAGCACTTTGGGAGGCCAAGGCAGGCAGGTCACTTGAGGCCACAAGTTTAAGACCAGCCTGGCCAACATGGCAAAACCCCATCCCTACTAAAAATACAAAAAAATTAGCCAGATGTAATGGTGCGTGCCTGTAATCCCAGCTATTTGGGAGGCTGAAGCACAAGAATCACCCGAACCTGGGAGCTGGAGGTGGCAGTGAGCCGAGATCATGCCATTGCACTCCAGCCTGGGCAACAGAGTGAGACTCTGTCTCGAAAACAAATGAGTACACAAGTTTTAACGAGAGAGAGAAGGTTGCTGCAAGTATGAAAAGGAACCCTGTGGTGTTAGACTGGAACTGGAGATACTGGTGTGACATCATGATTTTCAATATATATCAATAGTTACAGAAGTAAATATCGACATAAATATGTCTGTATACACATGTACGCGCACACACACTCCCTACCCTCGACAACACAGGCCTAGGAACAATACCCAACAGCAGTGAGCATAACTAGCACCTTCTAAATACCACTCACCACTCAAAGGAACCTTGGAGAAATGACAGACTCCAGGGCTGAGTTAGGGAAGATGACCCTTGGGAATTGTGTGCTAGAAGGTAAGGAAATGATCAAAGAACAAGGGGGCAGGTCAAAGGGACCCAGAAGCCTGTGTGAAAAAACTCTTGCTAGCCAAACCTGGGATAAGTAGAGCATCAACATAAGTAATTACCAAAAGGGCCATCACCAGCAATGAAACAAAGCGAAATCAGAGGCCACCAGATGGGACTCAATGAGCAGGCCACAGGAGCACCTGTGTACTATTCCTGCCCGAGATGCATGAGCGGAATCCAATCCCCAGGGAGCCTCAGACACACCCAGGCTGAGGGACGAAACAGAGTGTGTCATCAGAGTAAAAACAAAGCTGAGCAGTGCTCCAGACTGAAGGAGATCAGCAGACAGGACAACTCAACACAACAGTGCAACCTGATCCAGATCCTTTCGCTACAAAGGACATGCCTATGCCTGGGGTCTGAATATTAGACAGGAGTAGTGATCACTGCTAACCTTGGCTCCAATGGCTGCATTCCAGTCATGGAGAAGAGGGGCCTTGTTTGCAAGACATACACCCTAACAGTGATCAAAGGGTGATGGGTATCAAGCTGGTAACACATTCTCAAATAGTTCAGGGAAGAACATTCTTCAAATGTTTTTGCAACTTCTCTAACTTTGAGACATTTCAAAACACAATTTCTCAAGAGCTCCTTACCTTCTTCATCATCGCCCCACTCCTTCTCATCATCCTCATCTGCTCCACGCTTATCTGGGCCTCTGGTCTTTTTCTTCTTTTTCAGTGCTTTCTTCTCAGCCCGGGCTCTTTTTCGTTGTTCAGCCTTTTCTTCTTCTTGCTGCACAAGGGCTGCTTCCTTCTCTGCAGCCTAGAAAAGTGGGAAGGTGAGGCACTGCTGCATGCGGGGATGACATTCGCTGTACTTATTCGTCAGGAAAGGGGAGAGGGGGTGGAAATTCATTACTAAATGAAAAGCAGAGATCAGGAGAAAAGGCGGTCAGGCTCACAGATATTCCACTCCAGGGCTCATTCAGGTTCCTTGGAATTCTGGATCTGACGTCTGTGTTATATTAGCAATTTCCTCACTTCAGCCATTACTCACCAAAAGGAAGGGGAAAAAATTCATAAAACTGAGGCCCTAAATAAGTTGGGGGTGTTCATGTTCCACTCACTAGGCTAAGTGAGGCTCTTCTTTATTCTTTTTTTATTAATTCTAGTAAATTTTAGAGCCAAAATTCCCTCACTACATGAAACAAGTACTTAATATTGGGGCTGAAGTTTTAGACCAATCTAAAATGATGATACAAGACAGGTTTAAGCATTGATCTAAATATTTTATAATTAATACTGAGTAAAAGACACTTAGGAAAACGTAAAACATCTTGACAAGAAACATCCATGCCAAATCAAACCAAAATAGTTAACGGGGTGCCAAAGACTTCAAACAAACATTGTCATTACCTTCAATCTCTGCTCATTGACACGAGCTAATCGGGTTTCAGTTTTCTGAACAGCTATATCCCAATCTTCTAAAGAACCTTGAAAGAAAGAGAAGTAAAACTTTTATTCTTTAGGATTTTGAAGGATATAATCAAATAAATTTTTCTTAATTTCTCTGTAACTCCAGAAGAGATTTCTCCCATCAAACAGTAAGAAAATGTAATTCATCTAGGCTTGAAGTTTAGAATTCAAATAGTCCTTTCTAAGTGGGTTTAAAATGTCCTTTCCCTTTAAAGAGAGACTTGAAACCCAGAACATGATCTATTAAGGGCTCTAGACGGCAAAGAATATGAAAACATTGTCATGCAAAACATACATTTATATTAAGGCTGAAGAATTTTAAGAGCTACTCAAATGTTCAGGCATTTATTTCTTATTTTTTGGTGGTCTTTGATTCCCAGTTCTGGGGGGTTCATACCCAAAATCCAGATCAATACCCACAGATAAAGTTACATTATTTTCCTAATGGTTCTGGCTCTCTAACACTGAAGACTCTGAAATTTAACACAGAGCCCATTGAGCCATTTGCCTCTCCAAGCTCCTCTGTTGGGCAGACGCTGCACTGGAGCACTGTGGCTCTCAATGGAGGGATCCTGCCTATCAAGGGACATTTGGCAATGCTGAGAGACACTTCTGGTTGTCATGTTTAGTTGTCGGTGGAGGTTGCTACTGGCATTTCATGGCTACAAGCCAGGGATGTCCCTAAACATCCTACAATGCACAGTCCCCCCCACAAAGAATTAGAACTCTGTGCTGAGTGACATCAGAGTCCTCCTGGTAGCTGCGGAATCTGAGAGGAGCTGCAGGAAGACTCGTTTTCAGGACACTCGTGACAGTCTAAGCATAAGGCACCACTTAAGGGGTGGCAGCATAAACAGAGCCTGTCCCCAGATTGTAACCACATGCTCCTACTTGAGACCAAATAGCAAATGGGTCAGGCTCCGAGCCAAAAGAGAGCCGGGGGTCCCACCTTCTGTCCTCTCCATGGTGAGCAACACTTCGCAGACATGCTCTGGGTAGTCACTGGTGCACTGGACGGCCCGGTGCAGCGCCTTCCGGCAGTGCTGGGTGTCACCATGTGCCCTAAGGCAGAAAACAAACAGTTGCTGCCACCAGCTCACAAAAAAAAAAAGGCACTCAAAGAAAGAGACTGTCTTCTCCCAGGTAGAAACTCACTCTTTAGTAACTCTAGCTTCTGAGGAGACCTTAGCTTTCAGATCTATCCACGATACTTTCTCCTTCCACAGTTTCCACAGTCACCTACGAAGGCTTTCCTTAAACCACTCTCTCCCTCAGCCATGTAGGGGCTATTGGAAAGCGTACCTCGGAATGCGATCTACAACCAGCATTCTGCCTTTACAGCATTCACACGTGCGCACATGGCGGGGGAATCCAACAGCTCTCTGTAACCTGATACAGTCCCTAGGGAAATTTTACTATGGAGTCCTACCCGAGGGGAGTAGAATCCAGGGTAGTGTCAAATTTCATACCCAGAGTCAGTTTTTTTTTGTGTGTGTTTTTTTTTTAAGATAGAATCTCGCTCTTGTTGCATAGGTGGGAATGCAATGACGCAATTTTGGCTCACTGCAACCTGCAACCTCTGCCTCCCAGGTTCAGGCAATTCTCCTGCCTCAGCCTCCTGAATAGCTGGGATTATAGGCGCCCACCTCCTATAATTTTTTTATTTTTAATAGAGATGGGGTTTCACCAGGTTGGCCAGGCTGGTCACAAACAGATATTTTTTGTATACTGCTAATTGCAACAGCTACACAACAATTCTGTTAGTCATAACTGTTATGAAACAGTATATTCACATTTGTTTTTAAAACATTTTAAATATACAGAAGTATTATATACACATATTATGACACTCAGAAAAAATTCAGAGCACTGATTCTCAAAGTAGGATCCACATACGTATCCCCTTGGAGATCCCCTGAGGATCTCCAAGAGCCTCTTAGGGGGCCTGCAAAGACAAAACTCCTTTTATAATAAATACCAAGACATTACTGGACTTTTTCACTGTGTTGACATCTTCAAGACAGTGCACAAGAAATGGTGGCCCTTAGCACAAATCAAGGCAGTACACGTCTTTTTAATGCACTGTGTGGCCGGGTGCAGTGACTCACGCCTGTAATCCCAACACTTTGGGAGGCTGAGATGGGCGGATCACAAGGTCATGAGTTCAAGACTGGCCTGACCAACATGGTGAAACCCCATCTCTACTAAAAATACAAACATTAGCCAGGCGTGGTGGTGCGTGCCTGTAATCCCAGATACTCAGGAGGTGGAGGCAGGAGAATCACCTGAACCCATGAGGCAGAAGGTTGCAGTGAGCCAAGACTGTGCCACCGTTCTTCAGCCTGGGTGAAAGAGCAAGACTCCATCCCAAAATAGTAATAACAATGCATTGTGTGATGAAATGCCACGTACACTTAAAGCCCCTCTGCATACTGAAGTAAACGGTTATTGCAAAAAACAGAAAAGCACGTTACTATTTGAGTTGCAAGCTGATCAAGCCACTTTTTTCAAAGACACCATTTTTACTTGAAAGAACACTTATTCACGTGACAAACCAGTCAGTTACTGAGACCTGGGTATTTGGCAGACATTTCTGAAAATTAACAAAGTGAGGCTACTACTCTGAGGAAAACCACTGACATTTTTTGTTGCATGTGATAAAATTCAAGCTTTCAAGTGAAAATTATAATCTTTGGAAAACTTGTATCTGCCACCACAAGTCTGACAGCTTCCTACTTAAAATACTTTTCTACTAAAATCAGTGCAGATATGAACAAATATGATTTTTAATACTATAGAATGAAATAAGTCAACATTTGGAAGAGCTGCATGATTTGGTGAATTGGGATTTTTCCAAATAATGTCATAGAATTATGGCATCACATAAAAGATAAAATAGACAAATGGATATTACTGTAACAGAATCTGTCAATATGGTTTCAGATTCCACATGCCAACACTGAAGTTTTGCTATAATATGTATGAAAGAATATCCACAATTATCTGAAAATGCTACTAAAATACCTTTCTTTTCTAACCTCTTATCTGGGTAAGGTCAAATTTTCTTCACACTCTTCAATGAAAACAGATCACAACAGACAGAATGCAGTAACAGGCATGAGAATTCAGCTGTCTTGTACTAAGCCAGACTAAATATATATTTGCAAAAACAGAAAACAATGCCACTTTTCTCACTAAATTATTTTGGGCTCTAGAAAACAGTCACTGTTCAAAAAAGTTTATTAATGTCAAATGATTTGTTATATTTAAATGAATTTAAATGTTTTTTTAGATTTCTCAATTTATAAATTATAAACATCAATAAATATAACACATATGTAAGTTTTTTGGGATCCTCCAATTTTGAGTGGAAAAGGAATCGTGAAACCAAAAAAATTGTGAACTACTGATCTAGGGGGATATTTAACAAGCTTTAACAGTGGTTATCTCTGGGGTGGGATGATAAGAAACTGTCACTTTCGGCCAGATGCGATGGCTCAGGCCTGTAATTCCTACACTTTGGGAGGCCAAGGCAGGAGGATCACTTGAGGTCAGCATGACCAACATAGTGAAAACTGTGCCTCTACTAAAAAGAATACAAAAATTAGCCAGGTGTGGTGGACCACACCTGTAATCCCAGCTACTCAAAAGGCTGAGGCAGGAGAATCGCTTGAACCCTGGAGGTGGAGGTTGCAACTGAGATCACACCATTGCATTCCGGCCTGGGCGACAGACCAAGACTCCCCACCACCCCCAAAAAAAGAAAAGAAACTGTCATTATCTATCACATATTTGTGTAAATATTCTGACTAATTTGGACCCACAGTGTTTTTTAAATAGAGAAAAAATATTCAAAAATAAACAGCAATGTAGCAATGTTATGCAATGTATAATGTTCAAGATAAACTGAAAAGTTGGTCACATTTTTTATGTTTTCCCCATGTTATAAATATTGTTAGGGATATCTTATTTCATTCGAATAGGTTTTAAAGGCTTCTAACACATGTATGCTTTAACTGCATTTTCATTACAAAAAAATTTAAGCATAGAAAAGTCTCAAAGAACGGGTCATGCACGGTTATGACTAGGTCAGTAATTTGAGGTTTTTTTCTCTTAGCTTTTCAGTATTTTCTACTTTTCTATAAAAGCAAATATAATAAAAAATAAATAGTTCCAAAAGGTCAAATAAAGTATCATACCCAAAAATAAAAACAAAAACAAATGAAAAGAAATGCATGGCTATAAGAGTTCCAGGCACAAAATATGATGTCTGGTTCTCTAGCCCTGTCCATTAAAAATGTACCCACTAATGAAAAAGACAGAATGAAAGAAGGCAGCCCAGTTCTAAGAAGCTTGCCCAAGCTGGTAGGAGTCAGCCAGGAGTGATGACAGGGGCGTAGCTGAGAAGCACCGCCTCCCTCCCCTCCCCGAGATCAGTTACCTTTCCAGGTTGTAATACTCTAGCCACATGTTGGCGTACTTAGCGTTTCCTCTGGTCATGATGCTATCCCAGAGTTCCCGAGCTTTCTGCATGTTATTGCACAGCCGAGCCTATAGTGCATCAACAGGCCGTTAGGAGACCTAAGCCTTATGACATTGACACCCATCATACAACACACTTCCAACCGACACACGTAAAAAGCACCCCATGACTATCGGGGTTACAGATGACCCTGGGCATTCCCCAGGCCTCCCTCTAGTGGTAAAAGGCCCAGCCCAAACACTTGTTCTGCAGTGACAAGTTTATCTGCCTACGTTTCCTGAGAACCGAGAGAGGGAGTGCATGGTATTTACTGGACAGTACTGGACAGTCATTTGTTTTTTATTTTTATCAAGCAGAACTAAAAGTATTTGAGAGACAATGTTAAAAAAAAGACTGATCTAGTATTAAATGCTAATTAAGTGCTACTAATACTTACAAATTGTGACTTGGGCAAATTACTTAAACTGTAATTCTCAGTTTTCTCATCTTTAAAATGGTTAAAACCTAAGCATCCCATACAGAAACTACCTGACAAATGTTAGTCTCTTCTGACTCTCCCTCAAAGAATAAAACATGATTAGAATCGTTACAATCCTACCTGCTGATCAAGGCAGGTTTTGTGTTTTACTGACCTTGGTGTCCCTGACCCGGTAATGACATTCAAATGATCATATCCTCTAATTACCTGTCAAATCATCTGTTCTCCACATTAGACAGAAGTCTTACTAGCACAGGAATCGTATCTGTCTTACTCCCATAGCAGTGGTACAGTGCTGACAAACCGTACCCGCTCACTGTGCTCTCAAAAATGAAGCAAAGAGGCAGAGACGGATGTAAATGAGTAAATACCTGGCATTCAGACATTTACTACACAACTTCTAGCTGGGAGCTAATATTTTCACCAACATATTTACAAATATGAGTCAAGTTAGGTAAATACCATGAACCCTCGTAGAGCCTAGACTACTACCTAGGTAAATAACATAAATCCTTATAGAGCTTAGGCCATTATCTAGGACTCTGACTCAATTTTAATTAAGGTTTAATAGGATGCTATTAAACAATGGTGGATGAAAGTGATAGATTTGTCAAAAACATTTACCTCAATCCTAGCCCAGTTCTGCATGATCACGCAGCTTGGATCACCACTCTCATTGAAACCTTCAAAAACAGCATTAGTAAAATTAGAAACTTAGACAAATAGCCTTTGGCTGAAAAGGTATATCAACCAGCAAACAGTATAGACGAGGAAATACAACTGGGCAAAGCCACAGGCTGCGGCATACTTACGCTCTTCCACCTCCTGCTTCAGGTACTCCAAGGCTCGAGCAAAGGCGGCCCTCAACTCCTCCAGCTCTTTACTGGAGTCTAGCGGAAAGAGCAAAAAAAGGCTTTAGGAAACCACATAGCATGGCATTGTTTGTTTCGTTTTTTATCCTACGCTGAAACTGTTTGGAGACCCATTATGTACCAGGCATCATGCAAGGGACACAGAAATAAAATTGCCAATTCCTGCCCTCATCACATAGTGAGGGAGAAAAAAATTAGAATAGAGTATGGACAGTGTGGTGACAAAGGCACACAGGGTGCTGTGTGTGCGGAGTCTCCCCCAGCTGGGGTGACACAGGCAAACAGGAGAACGGCTAAAGGTTACCTGCATGAGGTAACAGCTGGCACAAGTGTACAAGTTAGGGGTTTTCTGGTTGTTTCTGGGGAATAAGGGGGCAGAGGATCCCACAGATATACAAAGATTTTTCTAAAACACAGCAGTCTTATTTCAAGAAGTATTTAGGATAAATAAAAACGCCAGAAGGGAGAAATGAGAGCTAAGACTAAAGAGACTAGCAGGAGCCAGTATAAAATGTAATGACCATTACTCTCTTGCTTTACAATCCACAGCATGACTTGTTAAAGATATAAATCGCTAAGATTTCTGGGGGGAAAGTCACCCATGCCTAGTCTACATCATTTGCTCAATCACAATGTATCTGGGGAACTGGGGCATCTCACCAAAAGCTGTATTAAGATTAAGAACATAATCAGTTCTTAAGTGAAACACATGCGCTTACATACCTTGTTTGAAATCAACCCTTCTCCTCAGGTAATCAAGGTATGCCTGCCAAATCTCCACATAATCAGTGGCCTGGATGAAGCCAGCATTCAAAGCTTTCTCAAAGGTTACTGAAGTCAGAGAAAAAGTCAGGATTTGTTACCAATTCAAATAGAAGCTAATAAATAGTTACTACATTCGACTGACTATAAAAGACTACATGACTTTAAAGACTAATAGATGTAACAAAGAAATAAGCTAGGGAAAGTCTAAGAAAGAAGTTGCTATAGCACTCTACAGACTGTGTTCTAGAAAAAACTTCTTCCACAAGATGCCCTGCAAATAGAGTTCCAGGTCAAGGAAGTTTGGAGAAAAAGACTACAACTTCTTAGGAAATGCAATGAATATTAGCATGTAAAGAAGCCACAAATATAACCAGTTCATCTCTCACTCAGAGCCCTTTTTGTCACTACACTCCATAACCCAAAGACAACCCCAGGGAACACTGATTTAATGACTTTGCCCCAGGTCTCTGTTTCTACTTGGGACAAATAGCTTAGACATTCTCCCACAAAAACATCCGCACCAGAAATTACTTGATGATCAACTCCATGTCTCTCCATGGCCAGTAGGTACCGACTCCACAAGGCAACTGTCCAGGGACAGTTTCTAACAGCACGGTTATGTACAGACAAAACCAAATCCTTTACTTTCAGCTGCCGGTCCTACGATAAAGAATTCCAGAGTTAGGAAATTAAATTTTATTGTCAAGAATTCACCAATCAACGAGACATTGCCAGTACAAGTGACAAAAGAAATGTCCTTATAAACATCTCTTGTGACCTCGTTTCTTAAGCAAAAAAATAAATAAATAACTAGGAAGGGGGGGGGATAGGAGAGGGAGAGGAGCAACTTACAGGTTAACACTGCCTTAAGATACATCAGCCAATCCTACTAGATATACTTCATTTGGATGCTTTTATACACATACACTGAAATATTTTGTATACACATACTGAAATATTTACCAATGAAATATCATTTCTGGATTTGCTTAGAGTAACACAAAAGGGGCAAGTAGGCGAGACAACAGATGAAAGTAACCTAAAGCTATAATTGCTAATAACTGTCGAAGCTGGGTGAGGGGTTCAGGAAGTTTCATTTTACTGATCTGTCTACTTTTATGTTTACGTTTTTTCCATAATAAAAAGTTCAAAGAAAAAATATCAATTTGTTGTAAGTCCTCAACATAGTTAGACTATATGCGAATTTTACTTACAGTTAGTGACCATTTTTAAATAACTTGAAACGCTAAAACTTTCTAAATGAGTTCGCAAAGAGGAGGAAAAGCAACAGCAGGGCCATATGCAACAAACTCCTGGCACTCTTACTGATTTTCTCTAAGTAGATTCTAAATTGGCAAAAATAAAATGAAATTAGAACAGTTATCTTACTAGGTACTGACTGTAACGGATCCATAAGTCTGGGACAAGGCAGTTCTCAACCAGGGCGCGCTCAAAGATCAACTGAATGCGAGCAGGATCACCAATTTTCATCTCAAAATCAATATACGCTTGATATTCTGCCAGCCTTGGTGCCTCTGCTTGCAACTGGAGTACAGGAAAATTGTATTAAAGTTGAATTTAGTTAGTGACAGGAACCACAACACATCTGCAAATAAAATAAATTTTGGCAAAGCTGGCTACAGTAACCAAGAATCACCAAATCCTCACTCAGAGCCAATACACTACGGGCTCTACAACTTCTCGGGCAGAACGAAAGTCTTCTCATCTGGCTCAAAGTGCCAGGTCATGGCAGTCATGACAAAGGCTCCATAAACTCTTTTCTAAATCCATTCCTAGACCACAGGGAATTTAAGTGGCCCATCAATCAGGAACTGAGTAAAAGAGGTCACCTTTGCCAGTGACCACTGTTAACCACCCTTCCAAACCAGAAGTCACGTTCTTAGGCTACTGAGTAGGGTTAATACAACCAAAGTGGAAAGATTTAGTGCCTGGTGCTATTTCAGGTTTCTTATTCCAAATATTAGTTCCTGGAAGAATGTAGGTAAATGCAGAAGATGGAGGCAGCTGTGCTGTATGTTTACTGATCCAAAGACACACAATCAATTCTTTTTCGAAAAAAATCTTCTTATTCAACATGTTTTCTCTTCAGCCACATTTTGGTGATGGCCATGACATAATTGAACGATTGAGGCTTTGTGAAACACAGGTACATGCAAGTCATCTATACATGAAAAAGAAAGGGAGAAGGCATGCAGGAGAGTAAGAGAACACACAGGCTCTGTACGTGGAAAGGGGATGTTTCAGAGCCTCTGTTTCCAGTAATGATGAACAATTAGTTACCCAGACACACTGTGCCATTCAAAACAACTAAAACTGCTAAATTAAATATAATGCCTTCTTAAAAGTTATCCACAAACTGGCAAAGAAACAAGGAATATTAAGGACTAAGGACAAAATCTAAGTGAAGGTGGCAAGCTAAGTAAAGGTTACGCTTTTGCTGGCTTGACATATAATAAGAATTTGATCTTCACAATCCTATTCTTGGTCAAAAAAGAACAAATAGAGTCAAGAAGCCCAAAAAAACCTCAGGCCAGTCCATACATGGACCTACTGTATATGAAATTAGAGGATCGCAAACCACATCAAAGAGATCTTAAAAGCAGTCAGAGAAAAAACAGTGACTACCTCTGAAGAAGCAAGATTTACACAAACCACTGACTTCTCAACAGCAACAACAGATATCAGAAGACAGAAAGATACGGTCAATTGCTAAGAGAACATACTATCTGTCTAGAATTCTTTCATTGTTGCTGTTGGTCTAGAATTCTATAGCCTAAGAAAATAATTTTCAAGAAGGGAAACAAATACCTTTTCAAATAGAGAAAATCTGTTACCAGTAAATCTCCCATGCAGGGGACCTCTAAAGGTCAAGTGTTAAGTTTTTTTTTTTCTTTGAGACAGTTTCACTCTTGTTGTCCAGCCTGGAGTACAGTGGCGTGATCTTGGCTCACTGCAACCTCTGCCTCCTGGGTTCAATCAATTCTCCAGCCTCAGCCTCCAGAGTAGCTGGGATTACAAGCGCCTGCCACCACACCCAGCTAATTTTTTCCATTTTTAGTAGAGACGGGGTTTCACCATGTTGACCAGGCTGGTCTCAAACTCCTGATCTCAGGCAATCCTCCCGCCTTGGACTCCCAAAGTGCTGGAATTATAAGCATGAGCCACCGTGCCCTACCAGAAAGACAAGATCTAAGTAGCAGAAACCTATACGAAGTTCACAGATTGGAAGACGTAAATTCTTCCCCAAACCGATCTGCAGGTTCAATGCAATTCCAATTAAAAAAAAAAAAAAAGATTGGGGGGGGAGAAAAAAAAAGATTTTAAGAATATAACTAGAAAAGCTGATTCTAAATCCAATGGAAGCATTGAAGGCCCAAATAAAAAAAAAAAAAGCCAATACTCTCTGAAGAGGAACAAGGTGGATGGGGCTCACCCTATCCAAAAGGAAAAGATTGTAACTCTCATCATGACAACAGCCTAACGTAAGCCAGTGGGACAGAACAGAAAATCCAGAAGACCCACACATAAATGGACAGCTAATCTATGACAGATGTGACACTGCACATCCGTGAGGGGAGGAAGGAATTATCACGCTCAGTACTAGAACAACTGGTTCTCCATATGGAAAAATGAAACCAAACCCGGTCTCATACCATACACAAAAATCAGTTCCAAGTGAATGCAGACCTAAATATGAAATAGAAAACTACAAAACTTTTAGAAGAAAATTGAGAAGGGGAGATTTTAAAATATACACAACCACCAGGGAAAGAATTTTAATCTAACTGGATTTATCACTAAGAACTGTTCCTCAAAAGACATTATTTTAAAAAAAAAGTGAGAGGGGCCCTACACTGACTCACGCCTGTAATCCCAGCACTTTGGGAGACCAAGACAGGTAGATCACCTGAGGTCAGGACTTTGAGACCAGCCTGGCCAACGGGGTAAAACCCTGACGCTACTAAAAATACAAAAGTTAACTGGGCGTGGTGGCAGGTGCCTATAATCCCAGCTACTCAGGAGGCTGAGGCAGGAGAATCGCTTGAACCTAGGCAGTGGAGGTTGCAGTGAGCCAGGATCACACTACAGGTATTGATTGACTTACAACCTATGCAACTTACGACCATTCGATTTTATGACCACAATCGCTAGCCATGACTGCTCCGCGTCTGGCAGCGCAAACGTTGCCCAGCTGGGCGTACGACAGTGCGGACCAGCTTCCAGCAGCACTACCATCTCCGCGTGCACCATTTCAACTGTACATATAGCCTATTCAACTTACGACCAAATCGTGTTACGACCGGTCTGCCGGTCCCAATCGTGGTCATAAGTCAAGCACTAGCTGTACTTCACTCCAGCCTAGGTGAAAGAGTGAAACATCTCAAAAAAAAAAAAAAAAAAAAAAAAGACAAGCAACAAACTAAAGAGAAAATCTGTAACACATACAGCCTAAAATAAGACTTAAGACTCAGCACTCCCACAAATCAATTAGAAAAAAGATATGAGTTAATGACTTTTTTTTTTTTTAAGCAACAAAAGGGAAATGGGTCAAAGACATTTTTTTAAGAACCAGGACTTTGCTTTGTTGCTCAGGCTGGAATGCAGTGGCAGCCTGGACCTCCTAGGCTCAAACAATCCTCCTACCTTAGCCTCTGGAGTAGCTGGAACTACAGACACATGCCACCAAGCCTGACTAATTTTTTTTTCTTTTTTTTTTTTTTTGTAGAGACAGGGTTGCACTACATTGCCCAAGCTGATCTCAAACTCCTGGGCACCAGTAATCCTCCCACCTTGGCCTCCCGCTGTGCCTGGATTATAGGCATAAGCCACTGTGCCCAGCCTGAGGACTTTAGCATGAACAAAAATTTGAACAGCCAATAAACATGAAAAGATGCTCAACTCCATCAGTAATTAGGGAAATGCAAATTAACACTACAATTTCACATTCATCAAATTAGGTAAAATTTAAGTATGTTTAATATCCAAGATTGGCACAAGCAATCAGAACTCTCAGATACTGCTCACAGCAGTGTAAACTTGTAACCTGGAAAACACTTTAACATCACTCTATGATCCAGCAATGTCATTCCTGAGTATGTATTCTAGGGAAACGCTTTTTCATGTGTACAAAGAGATACACACAAGAATGTTTAGAGTGGCAGCTGCTCCTCCTCCTAGCAAAAATCTGGAAATGACCCAACTATCCAGCAACATGGATAAATAAACTGCAGTACACAAGCAACTTTACAGCAGTGAAAACAAATGCACCAGAACTATACTTAGCAACATGAGTAAAACCCAAAAGCATGTTCAATGAAAATAAAATATACAGCATGATTCCATTATACAAAAGTTCAAAAGCAAGCAAAATTAAACAATATATTAATTAAGGATTCATTCATAGCTTGTAAAACTATAAAGAAAAGCAAGGGAATGATTATCACAAAAGTCAGGAAAGTGATTACCTCTCGGGAGAGGGAGGAGGAGGCAATCGGAGAGGGGCACATAGGAGACTTCTAAGGTACTGGCAATGTTCTATTTCTTAACCTGGGTGGTAGGTACATGGATGTTCACTTTATTATTAGTATGTAAACTATATGTATACATTTATACACTCTATATATTTCACAATAAAACAAATTTTAAAAGATACGGTTAACTTGCAACTATCCATCAGGGAAAGGTTTGTAGACAGACGTTTACTAGAAAAGAAGCCAACACTTACCAGTGCTTCTTCATAGGGTTTATATTTCTCCAACTGCTGTAGTGCTTTGTTATAGTTCTGAATTACCGAGTCTGGTATTGGGTCTTCTGACCATTCTTCATACTCTGCAAATGTGGCCTCCATATCTATTGAAAGACAGATTCAGCCCCGTGGGTCTTGCCATTGGGCTTTATCAACCCAAACACAAATTAAGCCATGAGACTCAGGTGCCATTAACCCCTCCCACATCTGCGGCCATGGCAGCTCTTACTGATCAAATTCTGATTTCTGCTGAGCCCAAATCTGTCTGTACAATCTGTCTCAACACAATGTCCCAGGCAGTCCTCCCAGCTAATCAGTCAATGACACTATTAGCAACAATTTAACAACACTTACCTATTGTTGCCTATGTTCTAACACTTCACATCCATTAACTCATTCAGTCATCTCCCCTCTACAAGGTAGAGTCTACAGTGATCCTCATTTTGCAGTGGAGGAAACTGAAGCAGAGGGTTCAGTTGCTTGTCTACAGTTAATGGTAGAGCAAGGCTGTAAACTCAGGCAGTCTGGCTCAAGTTCACACTCTCATCACTATGCTAGGCTGTTTCACGCTGGTATGTGAAGTGAAATCTACAAGCCGGCTCAGCTCTAGCCTTTTCTGCATGACACCCAACCATCCGATTAGAGCTACTTTATAACTTGGTAAATCAAATCCAATAAACCATGAAGAGAAATAACACCTGGGCTCCAGTAAAGTTGCCCAGAAGTTCTGAGTACAGTATATACAATACAGGCCTGTGCCTAGGGATCAAGTAAGACAGCGGTGCCAAACTCTGCCAATACTCAGAAAAATCCTCCCAGCACGCACACACTCACAGCTCCAAAGACTCAAAGGCTTGGAGTGCCAAAATGTATTTACCAAATAAGACTCTTTACCAAACCCCAAGAAACTCACTTATGAGTACTTCCAATCAACTGTACCTCTGAACCAAATCCTTCCCACAGATGATCTAAACCCACGTAAAATTCCTGCTGTTATGGAAGAGGTTACTTATTAAGAGAAAATGATCATAATGGAACTCTTGTTCAATAAGTTTCCCCAAAAAAAATACAGGTGTCACTCACTATTCCTTTCAGAGACCCTATCTCTGCCTTTTCAACAAGGTCTCAAAGGAGAAAAGAGCTCTCACCTGGGAGTCAGGGAGCCTGGCTTCCAGTCCTGCCTCTGACCCTCAGAACCCTCTGAAGCATTAACATTCAAGATGTTTTTACCAAGGACCTCATCCAGAGAGACAACGTCCAAGGAGAATAAGAACACCAGCTCTACCTGCCTCACAGGATGGTGGGAAAGGTCTAATTACATGTCGTACCCCAAAGCATTTTAAAAACCATAGAGGGCTGGCTGTTGACATGTCAGTTTCTCTTACCATAGAGTGGGATCGCCAACTGTCGCCGGAAGAGACTGTGGACTTTCTCAAGCTGTGAATCAAAGGTTTGTTCCCGGTCAAAAGGGGAAAGGAAGCCAGCTACGGGCTAAAGAAGCAAATTAGTAGTAAATGACAAACTGTGGTTCTTTCTTTGTTTTTTCTTTTGAGATGGATTTTCACTATCACCCCGGCTGAAGTGTGGTGGTGTGATCACAGCTCACTAGTCTCACACTCCAGGGTCAAGCAATCCTCCCACCTCAGAGTCCTGAGTAGCTAGGACCACAGGCATATGCCATCACACCTGACTAGTATTTTACTTTTTGTAGAGATGGGGTCTCACTATATTTCTCAGGCTGGTCTTGCACTCCTGAACTCAAGTGATCCTCTGGCGTCAGTCTCCCAAAGCGCTGGAATTACAATCATAAGCCACCGCACATGGCCAGCTCTGGTTCTTTCAATTTCAAAAAATATCTCAACAAATTTCAGTTCAAGTTAAAAAAATTTATATGACTTCTTTCATTGGTATTACACCAAATGCCAGAAAAGGTACAAAAAAAGGTTATCTATCACCCACCCACTAAGAGATTAGCAAAGACCATTTTGTTGACTATATGTGCTGCAAGATTCATCTTGGACATGTATTTCAAAATAATCCTTCCAAGGAGACTCACAAAGACAGCCCTGGCTCATTCAGAGACAAGCACAAGTACTCACCCGAGCAGCTTCCACAATAGCACTTTCAAACTCTCGGTAAGCCTCCCAGAGGGCAAGTCCTTTAGTCATATGTAAACCGACAGACGAGAGAGCCCTTTCAAACACAGAGCGAACTTTCTCAAGGCCACCTTTCTGACCAATCCCACCGACTGAGTACTGGCCATACTCTAGCCAAATGTTAGGACCTAAAAATAAGAAGTGTTCAATTGGTTTGGGATATAAAATACCCAAATATCAAAACTGATACATAACAAAAGAAATATGCCTACAAAAAAAGTCCTCATTGTGCTATCGCTTGACAGGACTAGGACAAGGAAAAAAAAAGTACTCATACAGCAGCACTAAATGACAGTGAAGGCTAACAGCAGAGATGACCATAAAGGACCAAAAAAATTACAGTCTGGAGAAGACCACAGATCCTCAGAAAAAGATAACCAGTGCTATTAACAAGGGCTATGAGAGAGCAAGAAGGGGGTAACAGGATCCTCAGAAATCATGGCAACACCAGGAGCTGCTAAAACTATCAGTGATTCTAAAAGAAGACTCATGGGCCGCAGAGCAGAGGAACATGTATAGCTTTTAAAAACACATTTGGCCGGGCGCGGTGTGTCACGCCTATAATCCCAGCACTTTGGGAGGCTGAGGCGGGTAGATCATGAGGTCAGGAATTCGAGAGCAGCCTGGCCAATATGGTAAAACCTCATCTCTACTAAAAATACAAAAATTAGCCGGGCGTGGTGGCGTGCACTTGTATTCCCAGCTACTGCGGAGGCCGAGGCAGGAGAATTGCTTGAACCCAGGAGGCAGAGGTTGCAATAAGCCGAGATCACGCCACTGCACTCCAGCCTGGGTGACAGAGCAAGACTCCATCTCAAAAAAAAAAAAAAAAAAAAAGGCCGGGCAAGATTGAGACCATCCTAGTCAACATGGTGAAATCCCGTCTCTACTAAAAATACAAAAATTAGCTTGGCATGGTGGTGCGTGCCTGTCGTCTCAGCTACTCGGGAGGCTGAGGCAGGAGAATTGCTTGAACCCAGGAGGTGGAGGTTGTGGTGAGCCAAGATCGCGCCACTGCACTCCAGCCTGGATAACAAGAGCGAAAACTCCGTCTCAAAAAAAAAAAAAAAAAAAAAATTTTATTATCATTTTATATTCATAAAACACCTCTTATTTTTATTATTCAGATTATAAACAAAAAAATTTGAATTCTTCTTGGCTTGTAAAGATACACAAAAAATTCTCTATCTCAGAACAGTCTATCTGGTAAGTATCAATGCTTCTTATAAAGGAGAATGCTCCCAGTGGGAAGTCAGCAAGGAAGAGGATTTGAAATCTGAAAGGGGAAATTTTTTAAATGCCTCTTTTTTTATTTTGAGACAGAGTCTCACTTTGTCACCCCGGCTGGAGTACAATAACGCAATCTCCGCTCACTGCAACCCCTGCCTCCTAGGTTCAAGCAATTCTCATACCTCAACCACCTGAGTAGCTAGGATTGCAGGCCTGCATGTCACGACGCCTGGCTAATTGTGTTTTTAGTAGAGATGAGATTTCACCATGTTGGGCAGGCTGATTTCAAACTCCTGGGCTCAAGTGATCCACCTGCCTCGGCCTCCCAAATTGCTGGGATTACAGGCATAAGCCACCAAGCCTGGTCTTAAAATGCTTTTCTTTGAGATACAATCTTGCTCTGTTGCCCAGGCTGGAGTGTAGTGGCACAACCTCAGCTCACTGCAAGCTTTGCCTCCCGGGTTCAAGCAACTCTCCTGCCTGAGTCTCCCAAGTAGCTGAGATTACAGGCACGTGCCACCATGCCTGGCTAATTTTTGTATTTTTATTAGAGACGGGGTTTTGCCATGTTGGCCAGGCTAGTCTTGAAATCCTGACCTCAAGTGATCCCCCAGCCTTGGTCTCCCAAAGTTCTGGGATTACAGGCGTGAGCCACCATGCCCAACTTTAAAATGCTTTTTAAAAGCATTTTGTCCACAGCATTGTCTGATGTGGTCCCCAATTCATGTACAGAAAATCTTTAAAACAATTATACTATATACAGGAGACAGCAAAGAGAGTTAAAGGGAGATGAGTCTTGTATACTTCACTTGCACTGGTAAGATGTCAATACTAGCAGGCAAAGGAAGTCTCTGTGGGGACAGAACAGGTCTGTATCGGGACTGTGGCAGTGGTTAGATGAATCTACACGTGTAATAAAATGTCTTTTTCCTATTGTTCCAAGGTCGATTTCCTGGTTTTGATTCTGTACTACAGAAACAAGATATTGGAGGAAACTGGGTGAAGTGAGTACACAAGACTTCTCTGTACTATTGCTGCAACTTCCTATGACTCTATAGTTACCTCAAAACAAAAAGGATTTCTTTTAATGTTTTCATCTTTTTTTTTTTTTAAAGCACCTTGTCCAAAACCTCTAAAAAACTATTTAATGTATAAAAGATCACCTGGAAATACCATGTAAGTTCTCACTGCCAATAAATCCTGAGTGTGAATGTATTCATTCCCTTACTTCAAGTGTTTCTTCCACTTTTATTTTAAAACCAAACTTCCTCAATTAAAGACCAAAGACAACGATAAGACAACTGAACTTAAGTAATGCTAATTGTGAGACTAACATTCCCTTTGCTGGGTAACATCATCTCATAATACAGTCCTCAACAGCAGACTGATCTATATGACATTGCCAGGTATCCTAAAAGTCCATGGGAACTTACAAATGTAATCCTTCACGGCTTTCTCAAAGAGGTCATACACGTGTTCTCTGTCCAGACCGTCCTGGGCCATACTGATCTCGTCGTGCAGCCACTCCAGCCAGAGCTCTACAAGACAACAGTACCTCCTGCATTAACACCAAAGGGTAGGCTGGGAGCAGGGACTTTACCAAGAGAGGTCAGCACACAAATGTGTCATTCATCTTACACAACCTGGCAGTGTTTCCAGAAATTCATTTCTTAAAACCTGAACAGGCTGGACTCAGTGGCTCACATCTGTAATCCCAGCACTTTGGGAGGACAAGGCGGGCAGATCACCAGGTCAGGAGATCAAGACCATCCTGGCCAACATGGTAAAACCCTGTCTCTACCAAAAATACAAAAATTAGCTGGGCATGGTGGCGCGTGCCTGTAATCCCAGCTACTCAGGAGGCTGAGGGAGGAGAATCGCTTGAACCAGGGAGTTGGAGGTTGTGGTGAGCCGAGATTGCGCCACTGTACTCCAACCCGGTGAGAGAGCGAGACTCTATCTCAAAACAAAACATAACAAAAAAACCTGAACCAAGCACATAGCAGGTTTTATGCTTCCAAGTAAGATCAAATCACTAAAATCATAATATCCTCCACCTATCAGGCATTTTATATTTTGCAAATCACTTTTCTCATTCAGTCTTTATCATAATCCTGTAGAGTTGGTGATAGTAACACCTATAATAATGACATCTATCTAAGAATTACAACATGCCAGGCATGTGTTAAGTGTTATATGCAGACTAGCTCATCCTATTCTGTCATACATTACAAGGCAGAAACCACCGTTGCCTTCATTTTACTGCTAGAAAAGCTGAGTCTTGCAACGTTTACCTAATCTGCTTAAGATGTAGCTAGGAATGAATCTGAGTCATCTGATTCCAGCATGTACCCTCGGCAGTTATGCCTTACAGAAGGGAAAAGGAGCAGAGTGGGATCTAGGACCAAAGTGTTCTAAGTATTGCCCAAAAGATCACTTATGAATATTCATGAAGTTGTTCAGTATAATCATGTTTCTAATAAGCAAATAAGTAGAAATAATCTAATGCTCAGCTATTGTGGAACAATTAATGTACGAAACATTTAGATAAACTGTGTGTAAAAGTTTAAATATATTTACAATTTTCTGGTTTCAAGAGAACGGGTTAACTAAATACTGGAATGGAAAATAGAGAAATGGGAGTTAAGTTTAATTACATTACAAATGTTTACCATAACGTTAGAATAAAAAAATCAATTCAAAATCCATGTTATATGATCATAACTACATTTTGCAAAAAACTACAAGATAACAAACTAAAAATAGCTAACTGATGAGTTGTCTTCTTTCCACTAGACTGTATGTTCCAGGCTTTCTACAAGGATCACGTCCCACTTTCAGCATTGAAAAAATATACATTCCTCGTTTCTGTTTCTAAAAGCAGCCTGACTGCTGAAGCTTACCTTCAGTCAAGGGAAAGATCTCACTCATCTTCTGGCGAGCCATCCTCACTTTGGTAAGCTCCCCTTCCAGCCGGAGCAGCCTGATCAGGTCCACGTGGCAGTTGTAGTCATAGACATTGATAGACAACTAACAGGAAAAGAAACATGTTGAAACTTAAAATGCCATCAAGTAACTTAGCTTTTGTCACTACTGGTGACTATATACATACCTGCCACAAAAAAAATAAATGTGCTCTCTGAGAAAACCACTGAAACAGCAACCCAACACGTACCCACAAGAAGAAGACAAAACAATAAAAGAGGCTTTTGTAACAAACATAAAGCTCCCTCACATCTGTTACAGTTCCTGTTAGAAGACACTCAGGTTCTCTTGGAAGTAAACAGACATTCTAATCAAACAAATAAAAAGTATGTGACGTTAGGCAAGTTATTTACTTTCCAAAGCCGCTATTTCCTCATCTATAAAGTGAGGATACTACTAGTTTCTAGCTCATACTGAG